CCAGCAGCCAACACTGCTCGAGCTATCGCTTCGGTCGCAGTCAGCTGAGCCCCGCGTGCAGACGGGCAGTATACCCAGCATATCCACTGGAGACTCGTCTAGCAAGGTACGTCAGTTCAAGTCAAGAAAAAGGTTGCCGAAACCGCCTGCCACTACAGGTCCTGTTTTTGCTCTTCCGCTTGCAAACGTGAAATCTACGCAAGACCGCCAATCACCGCGTCCTGCTGTGTTGAGCTTCTCCACCGATCTTTCACACTCCAGCGGCGCGCAGACCACGCCCACACTCTCGACCTTCTCGCTATCCCGCTTCCCGCAGCCGCCCCACCGGATCGACCCGTCGCTCTCACCACCCCACGATGAAAGAGAGCCGACGCGAATAGACGCACCTTGCTTCGCGACAACCGCGCCTGCGACGCCGCCCGCGACGCCCGCAATTATCCATTATCGCGGTGCTTCCTTTGACTTGGTTAACCCGCACGATTCGCTACTGCTTCACGACATTGTTACGCCGTCGCGCGACTTCGATTCTAGTGAATATCTTCTTCTACGTTCATCTGACGACGCATTTTCAGAGGTATGTATTACAACCCAACTACGCTCTCAGCACAGCTGATCGCAACAGATGGCGCCCAAACGAGCCGTTTACGGCGATTTCCGCGCAGCGCATGCAGGTATCCTGAGACGTCCTGAAGATGAGCCAGAGCAGTCGCATATGGAGCTTCCGCTCGAGCCGTCACCTGCTGCCCTCAGTCCCAACTCCTCGTCTTATACATCGCCTCCGTACAGCCCCGAATCAGTCAATGTGCCCTCCCCGCTGGCCATCAAGCCGCCTGCTCGCGAGTCGCGTTTCTCTCTCAAAGGATTGACTCGCACCTTGACGAAGAAGCTCACCAAGACTCCGTCGGCGTTACAGGGCGAGGAGTTGCAGGAGATGCGTAGCGAAAACGTGAGCAAGGCATCAATCAGCATGGAAGGAGAATTCCCGCGCCCTCTACACCAGACCTATATCACAACCCCCGAAACATCATACTTCCCGGTCGGACCAATGTCGCCAGCCACGCCCAGCAGCCCCCTGTCACCTGAAGGCTTCCATGCCTTTACACCGGCGTTCCCACAAGCCTTTTCTCCCGGACAGAATGAAGCGGAGGCATCGCGAGGTCAATCCGCTGGACACTATCAGACGGATTCGCTAGCATCCATGCTGCCGGATGAGCACTCGACGGAGATCGGACGATTAGATGAGTCTCATCTACCTTACTCTACTGAAGGCGGCTTTTCGAAGCCCTACTACGACGATCTTGATTCGATCTACCCCAGTTCGTCCATCTACACCGCAGATGGTCATCGAAAGTCCATGTATCAGCAGGGACTCCAGAGCGACCGGAACAGCAGTGGCAACCCGTTCGCTCGGCTTAGTGGGATAAACGCAAGCGACTTTGCCAACGAGTACAATCCTAACAGCTCGTACGATTATGGCGACTCTAATCGGATGAGTCAGCGACTGTCACGTCCATTCGCGCAGGACATGTACCACCCTTCGGTCGATGAACGTGATCCCAAGACAGACACCATCAGCAAACTCATCGATGAATATAGCCCGCATGATACTGCAAATGCGCCCGTAGCCACTCACTATGAAGGCAAAGGAAAGGGGGTTCAACAAACTGGTGTAGGTTCAAGGCGGCCTCCGATTACCCAGCACCCAGGTTCACCCCCTCGTGAAGCGGCTCCTCTTGCACCGGCCTTTGAGTACGATGAAGCACCTTTCCTTCCTCCACGTCTACCAATGTCTGGTATGTTCTCTGATGAATCACGCTACTCATACGGAGATACTCGTAACCTGCTCCGCATCTCGGAGTCAGATGTCTCGATCCAGCCTGCTATGAAAGGCACTCTGGAGCCATCTTCATCGTACTCTCAACCAGAAGCCAGGACCCTCGAGCCTTCGTCTTCTTACTCTCAAGCGGACAACCCGCAGAGTCCGCATACGCCTAGAGAGGCTCTCGAACAGGCCGAACAAATCTTCCAAGACACGGCCAACAAGCATCAGGATGACCGTAAGATCCCCGCGATGTGGGCTAGACGCAACTCGGCCAGCCTAATGCTAAGTAAATCAGCCACAAACAGGTCATCTGGTGTTCCCGAGGAGTTCGACACACCTCTTGGTGGCGGCGACGCAGCTATTACCGGAGATAAAGCGGATTGGGAGACGGTCGGCGGCAACAGTCGCGATTCGAAAGGTCATGAGTCTCTTCTTAGCAGTATTGCAGACTATAGCAGCAGTGAGGGTATCCGGAACAGTCTTGGCCTAAACTCAGATGGCTCCCTTCCTTCCTGGGCGAAGCTAGCTCAATCACCGGCTCGTTCGACATACTACAACCACCCTAGTCCATCACGCACTCAACACCCTCATCTGTTCGGCTCATCGCCACCACAGTTGAGAGCTCAAGGAAGTGTCCGTACCGCACCCGATACTTCATCTCCTCCCTTGGCCACTAGCCCTCCAGCATCACGGACAGCACCATTGTTCCAGTTCGCTACTCAACCTGAGGACGTTCGCGGGCGCGGTGCCGTCGATCAGCCATATGCTTACGCTCCTTGGGCGGACCCGTACGCTTTCAGCGACAAAGAGACGCAAGAGCTGCTAGCTTCTGGCCCTAATGATAACATCATTATCGATGAGCAGCGCGCTTCGTCTGTGGGTCTATCACAAGGACATTACCGGTATAGAAGCGATGATAGTACTCTACCGACTTCAAGTACCGCTGATGAGAGCGTTTTTGACAACAGTCCTATTGGTCTCGAGCGCCAGAACACCTTTGAGAAGCTCTCCTATGTTGGGCCTAAGGGCAACCTCACCGGTACTCCTCGCGGTACTGGCATGCATGAGACAGGTAGCAGTGTCGCAGATACTAGCAGTCCTGGTGTGAAGCTCAGCTCGAGCGTTGGCCGCCAGAGCGTTCGTTCAGACTACACCGGGTTCTACGCTTCGCCCTTCCCAGCTACAGGCAGCGTAACTCGCATCAGCCAGTCCCGACCAGTCTACAAGCCGAGTCCCGAGCATCGAACACCATCAGAAGCTAGTCTGTTCTCACAGACGCCAGAACTGGAAACTGTTCAAGAGACCTCTCCAAACCCTGGTGCTCGCAAGCACCTCCGTAACTCTACCACGTTCCTGCGTCAACAACGCCGCACGAGCCGCTCTGCCGTACCTGGTCAGACGAAACTGCGGCAGATGTTCCTTGCGCCTGAAGCTGCTCGATCGACCGTCTCGACTCAAGACACGCACATCACGCGCTTCGTGGCCCACAGTGATCGTCCATCTACCAGCGACACTACCACGCCTCTGCGTCCCACACACCCTAGCCTAGACATCTACCCTGCGCCGGTCCGGACCAACATTGCCCACCAGCACTCGCCTCACCTTCTCTGCGTGGAGCGTGAGCCCAACCCAGAAGACGAGGCACGCCGCCGCAAGCTATCATGGTGCATCCTCATGGCCTTCTGCCTCCTGCCGCCCTGCATCATTCTCTTCCGTTTCATAGGAGACAAGGTCATCGCCGAGCTTACCAAAGGCCATCTGGGTCACGTCACGCCACAGTCTAAGCGAACGGCGCTCATTGCTGGTATTGTCGTTAATGTTGGCCTTGTCACTGCAATCTTGGTTCCGGTCTTGGTCGCGCAGGCTCTGAAAGCTGCTTGATGTGGGTTCTTGTTGGGGTTGAAGAAACAACAGGTACGCAGTGCTATCGTGATGATCTTACGTGAACTAACCTTGATTAACAGCAGTGCTGGCAGTCTCGAACATACTCAAAAGTGCTATCAACGATATCTCGAACCGCAGACCTTGCGACGCGGTGCGACATACGAAAAGTTTGCAAGCGATCTTCATCGCAAGTTCCAAAGAACACATTGGCCAGCAACGTCTTGGTTGCGGCGTCCATTCTCTTCTGAGTGTGAGTTTTTTCCTTTGTTCTGTACTATCTTGCGTTGCTTTGGCGTTGCTTTTGCATGATCTGGGAGTTTGATCAACTTTGAAGATGGCCGTTTGGCTCTTCTGGGCTCCTCATCGAGGGAAAGGTCTTTATCTGGGATGCATGATTGGCGATGGGCGAATGCCCGGGCATGGTGCATGTGGGTTAGGATCGACATCTGGGGAATTGGTCATTATGGGGTCTACTGGTATCTCTTTTTCATGTGTCGCGGCTGGCTTCGTAATGAAGTTGGCTGCTTGACGGTGGGAGGTTTGGACATGGGATGGTGGTTTTGCGGCTTGATGGATGGATGACGGATATGTTTGGTTCAGGTTCAAGAGGAAATATGAATCATTTCATTCAATACCGGGAGCTATGCCATCCATGTGCTGCTCTCCGTTTCCTGGCCCACACGAGACTGGCCGGCCGATCGCCGTGATCATGCATCTTTGCCACTTTGTTGAGGAGGCAATGTCTTCCGTCTAACCAATGGAACAAGCCCGATATCTGCTTCAGTATCTACCCTGCCTGGCGGTCCAAAATCCGTCTGGTGTTCTCTCCCAGTAGACCATTGCTCGATAATACTCAGTGGTCGCGACGGCGACGGCGAGGTGGTCTGTATACTGGTGTTGTCCGATGGTGCCGAGGTAACCATACTCTGGTCACTTCGGTTTGACTCGGGTCGCGCTCGAGTAAGCATGCTGAGCTGGGATTCTGGCCGAGCTCGATTACGGCTTATCCTGACTTCATCACGGATGAAGTAGATTTGGTCCACCATGCTCTTGACTGTCAGCAGGAACCGATAAGTGATATACATGTAGAGTAGGAACGAGGCTAAACCAGTAGTGTCGCTGAGGTTCCACATAACTCCCATTGATGCGGACAGGCAGCTTTCGCAGAAGGAATAAATCAAGGTAAGACGGCCCATCTTTCTGGCCGTGTAGACATCGCCATTGTCTTCGGTATAGAAGTTACCAGAACGTATGGCTGACAAGTCTTCGTGGGACTTCCATGATCCAAGACGCACTAGTACTGTCCAAGGCCGATCAATGAGACCTTTGGACTCAGGTACAGAGGTGTGAGATGGACCTGGGGTGGTTTTGTCTTGTTTAACACCTTCCGCCGCGGTGTTTATCTTCATCAAACTCGCCTCGGAAGATGAACAGGCTTCGCAACTAGGAGCCTTGTTCCACGGAGCCTTCTGTTCTAGAGGCGCGGCTTCACATTAGCGTAAGCCCTGCGACGATCAGACCGAATGTACTTACCATTGATGACTTCAACTGCGGCTAGAAGCGTTAGCGCCAGCAGCACTATGGCTACAACCTGCCCAAACCCCAGGATATGAAGACTATTCGCTGGCTTCAATCCCCCAAACCATACAGCGAGTACAACACTGCCGGTGCCATAGGTCATGCCCAGTATAATCTCCGGAAGCATGGATATGTACGAGTCGTAGTATCTGTCGAAGAAGAACCATATCGATATGTTCGTCCTTTTTGTAGTTGTAACCGGTGGACGTAGCCAGGCGTAGTATTTGGCATCGGCCTTGATGACCATTGCGCTAGCGTCTACTTTCGAGAAACCTTTGAGACGAAGACAACCTGCGTAAAACGATTGAATCCACACGCTCAGCGCACTTGTTCCGGGTTCGAAGAACAGGTTTGCGATAGCGAAGGTGTGGTTGACAAGCACAAGTCCCAGGATGAGAATTGACTCGACCAAATCGAATTGGATTGACTTGCCGAAACGCGACGCTTCGAAGAGACACTGGAGCACATTTCCTACGTTTAAGGTAGTCTTCGATATGACTTCGTCAAAATTAGTTGAAACAGTATTGATGATGAAGGAGAAGGCGAAGATTGCCAGAAACCCAACGGTAAACACAACTCGGCAGTCGCGAACGAGCTTACGGTAGTAGAGATGACTTTGAAGCACCCCCAGAGAGAGCGCATGTGTGACGGTCGCGAAGTACGCTAGATAGGTGACGATGTTGAACTCATAGAAGGTGATGCGGCACCGACTAGCGAGTCCCGCGATTAGGATCGCAACACCGGTAATAAGTTGTTGGTCGCTTAAGACTGTGGCAAATCCAACGATAATCTGAGTCCTCTCTTTCTGCTTTGGCGTAGGCTTGAAATGAAGATCAGCTTCGGTGAAAGGGCGACGCAGCTTCTTGAGTGCCTGCAGTGCGTAATGATCGGTGCGGGAAAGTATGTCGATGGGCAAGCACTCATTGTAGTATCCCCAGACAATGACGGCGGAGAGCATATAAGCGCAGAAGAGGAAAGATATCAACACCTTTGAATGATATCAGCGTGCGGCTCCGGAGGCCATCTATGATCCACTTACTCCGATGCCCGCAATATCGGGATCTACCTCGATCTCAGTGTTACAACCATCAATGGGTTCACTGGCGTAACATTTGTTGCAGTTGAGAGAGCTTCCACAGCTGCCCATGGTCGTTTGCTTGCGTGGTGGTAACGTGCTAGGCTGGGGTTAAGGCAACAATCGTAGCAAGAAGCGGGATAAGTAGCCTTTGAATAGCAGTGGACATGCGAGCAGGCTGATGTCAGCCGCCAAGGTTCCGCCTGCATGCGATCCCGATATGCCAGGAAAAGTGGGAGAAAGGCTGGGAATGGCGCAAGCCTAGGCTATTGGTGGCGTATGTAAAAGGCGTCTGCGCATTCGAATCGGTCCAGTGGTTGGTCTTTGACACTCATCGTTCGAGTTTGGTATTTGGGCGCCGTAGCGGAGTGATGCTGAGTACAGAGTCTAAAAGGTTGGGGGTATATTCGAGCGCCTCGGAGCCCGCGGAGATAGTTGGCAAAAGGTGTCATAACGTATGACATGGTACATGTGATGAAAACCGTGAGTCCTATCTCGATGAGATACGACAACGATGGAATAAAACTTGAAGATTCTGTGGAAGTCTGCACGGGTAGTAGCGATCAGCTTGATGGATGATAGGTGGATTTCGCGGCTCAGCCTTGTCCTTTTCTAGTCGCTATGCATGAGCTGAGAAGCTGGGCGCATGTGCCTATAAAAACGGCCTAGAAACTCGCTTAGGTGGTGACTGGTGGTGGAGATAAGCTGCGCAGGCTGGGCTGAGATGTATTGGAGGGTAGCAGTGGTGCTGCTGCTGCAGGTCGCTACTTCCAGCGGGCAACCCAATACCATAGTCGCATCGCTGTACATCATCGAGCGCCAAACGTACGTGCGATGCAGATCAACCAGATTCCTTGTACGACTGATGATCAAGGACTCCCGTCCTGCTTGCTAAACAACGCATCCAGACCGATACTAGCTTCAGTATCCTGCCTCTGGGGTGGTCCGAACGTTGGGCTCGTGTCCGTCGCAGTTGTATGTGTCTCGTCCTGTGGGCCGTCAAGTACATTGACTGAAGGCCGTCGTGGTGGGGTCTGAGGTGCGCTACTGCCGGACCTGCCAGGTACCACTGGAGACGACTGCAAGGAAGTCTTCTTGTTCTTGCGTGACTTCATCTCTTTCCACACGAATCGATTCTGACTGATGTGACGTCTCAAGATAATGACCGCTCTTATCATAATCCATACTGCAGTGAAGGAAAACAGAACGAACGATTGGATAGAGACCGCGAAGATCAACAGTACGGTGAATAATACACAAAGGATCAATGATCTGATCGCGATCTTTCTCGCTATTTTTGGGAAGGGCTGATGTGCGACGTTCCCGGTCTGGTGTATGATGTCACTGCGTGCGTGATCAGACTGCTCGGCACGCGGCTCGGATGCGGTTAGTCTTGGAGATGAATTGTCTGCGACATTGATCTGGTTCAAAGTTCCCTGGGCTAGTGAGGGAAGAAAGCTATCCAGTATTGCTTGCTCTTCGTCTGATCAGTACGGTCATCATGAGAGTAGAGACAAGGCTTACCGTTTTTGACGTCGATTAGAGCAAGCAATGGAAGAACGAGTAAACCAATGGCGACGACTTGGCCATATCCAAGCTCCCATGCATCACTCGATGGGTCGATGTTGGCACCCAATACTGCAAAGATTGTATTTTTCGTCCCGTAAACGAACTGGAGTGCCCACACGGGAATTTCAGAAAGGTACGCATCATGGTACTGCTCCAGGAAGTACCAAGCGGATATCTTCGCCTCATCATTCGATGGTCCGATTTTAGTATCATAGTCCAGACGCGCATCTGCGATAATGCTTGCGATTTCCATTTCGGAGAGGGCGTTTGACCGGCTCCAGAAGTACATGGATATGCGATCCATACGGATAAAAGTGACGTGACGGTGATAACCGACGTCCGGAGCAGCTAGTCGAGTGAGGGCCGAAATGTGTTTTGCCCACAGGATGATCAGTATAGGGATAAGCCGGAGTAGAACAATTTCGTCGACCACAAGCGCGGGGTCCGATATCCACTCCAGCAACGCACATTGAACTATCTTAGTGCCGTTGTCAGACAATAAGAAATCCACAAGGAACGCGAAGGTAAAAATGACAAGAAACACCAGCGTAAATGTAATGCGACAATACCTGGCCCAAGTGTGCTGGGCTAGGTACTTTCGCAGTACATCCAGTGACAGACTATGCGTCGTAGCTGAGAAATAAGCCAGTGACATAACGATATGCCATTCATTCTGAGACATGACACATCGACTCGAAAGTGCAGCAATCATTATTGAGATTCCCGTTATGAGCTGTTGATCGCTAAGCATCTTAATGAACTTGGCGAGAACATGGCTGCGGCTCTGTTGTTTCGGCGTCTGCACTAAGCTTGGAGTTCTTGTGTTTTGTTGGCGCCTCTTCCGCTTGAAGAGGTTCTTCATTATTTCGAGCGCATGCTGGTCAGTTGACTGTAGCAGACCTGAAGGCAAGGTTGCGGTCAGGTACCCCCGGATGACCACCACGAAAACGGCCAAGGCGCTGAAGTAGAATGATACGAGAATCTGGCCTTACATTAGCACTATAGACAAGCAGAAGTTTCAGGACTTACTCCAATACCTGCGATATCCGCGTTGACTTTTGACTGTGTTGGGCACTCCTGGTTCCATTCTTGCGTCTCATAGTCGAATCTTCTGCACGCAGTGCAGTCAAGGGAACTACCGCAGTTACCCATGACAGTGGTTACTGTGTCAATTGAGTCAAAGCATGTCGAGAGCCGCTGTGGTGTGCGATAGCCACGCTATCAAATCAGACAAGATGGGGAAGTTGGGGTGTGGTGTTGAGGATACCAAGTTGTCCCCGCGTCGGCCTGCACTGCCTGTTCAAGCAGGCGCGATATGGACGCCGCCCACACAGCCACAAAGCCTTGGCTGGGTAAGGTTTGGCCCCCAAGTTTACTAAACATGGCTGCATTGGAGATGAATGATAAATGAGGCTCGAGATCGGACGGCAATTGCAGGGCTGTGTATATCGGCTCGCCTTCCTAACACCACCCCGGCTGGGTGAGGTGCTGCGCTAATGTCATCGTAGCCACGACGAATACACGGTGCAGAAGGGCAGGAAGTCGCGTCGCGCGTCGCTCGTCGCTCGTCGCTCGTCTTGTGGTCGACCGGGAAGATCAGCGATGATTATCACAACGTGTGACGCACCATATACCGTGTGGATCTCTTCGATGCTGTAGTCATGAGAGAGTAGGAGTTTCAGGGCGAGGAAGCTGTCAGCCCAGCAGCTGCTTCCCCCAGACTGAGTCATGCGGCAAAGCTCATCTCGATCGCGCTGGTGAGGCGCGAGTCATGACAGCTACGAAAGCCTCTGAGACGCGTCCGGTCAGGATCAATGAACTTCACTGCATCACTGGGGTACATGATAGATCAACGTTCGTGTTCATTCTTATTTCATTCATGGAGCTTCAGTGCTACTAAAACTCGGGGTATATACAACTCTCTACTCTTTGCTCAAATCCGCAATCTGCAACACCGCCTTACCAAAGTTCTTTCCCTCGAGCATACCAATAAAGCCGTCAACCGCATTATCAATACCCTCAGTAACACTAATCTTCGCCTTGAAGGTACCCTCAGACAACCACTTCTGCAGCTTCTCCTGGTGCTCCTTCGCGTGCTTAGGACCCATGTTCTCGTCACCAACAATGAAACCGCGGATAGTAAGGCGCTTGGCAACAACGTTCATGAGGTTGCGGATGGGGTACTGCTCGCCGGGCTTAGCGTTGTACTGGGAGATCATGCCGCAGGCGACGATGCGTCCGAAGTTGTTCATGGCGTTGATGGCGGCTTCGAGTTGCTCGCCGCCGACGTTTTCGTAGTAGATGTCGATGCCGTTGGGGGCGAGGCGGGCGAGGGCATCGGCCGGCTTCTCGGTCTTGTAGTTGAAGCCGGAGTCGAAGTTGAGCTCCTTGGTGATGAAGTCGAGCTTCTTGTCGTCGCCGACGGAGCCGATGACGGTGAGGCCCTCGTGCTTGGCGAGTTGGCCGACGAGCTGGCCGACGGCGCCTGAGGCGGCGGAAATGAAGATTGTCTCGCCCTTCTTGGGCTGGCCGATCTCGTAGAAGGAGGACCAGGCGGTCAGGCCGGGCATACCGAGGGGACCGAGGAAGTACTTGGGGTCAAGGTTGTAGGGGTTCTTGAGCTCGATGCAGTTGGCGACGGCGTCCTTGTCGAGGACGGAGTACTCCTCAATGGGGCTGATGCCCATGGTGATGAGGGTTTGGCCCTCCTTGAACTTGTCGCTGGCGGACTTGACGACCTTGAAGATGGAGCGGTTGGTGATGGGCTTGCCTAGCTCGAAGGGAGGAGAGTAGGACTTGACGTCGGGTGCACGCATGCGGCCGCGCTGGTAGGGGTCGAAAGATGCGTAGAAGTTCTTGACAAGAAGAGCACCCTCTGGGAGCTTCTGGTCAAGGTCGATGTCGCGGGCCTCAACAGCGAGGTCCTGGCCTGGCTTTGGCCATCCCTCTGGGACCTTCTTGAAGATGACGCCCTTGTTCTGAACCATGATTGTGTCTTTGTGTTGTGTAGAGTTGGGTATTAGGAAGGAAGAAGTAGGGTATCTTGTGTTGATGTTGTAGAGTGGTTTAATAATTTGATGCTGAAGATTGAGACATGAGCACCTAGCTATATACCAACACCTCTAGCTGACAAACTGTGATTTCACCGCCGAGAGAAAGACCCTGATTGCATCATGGGTGGAGGGAGGGACCCGGAGGCGCCGTCCTAGCACGGCAAGCCCAGTCGTAACGTTGCATATCGGCCAGCGACCGGCAAAGAGGCGCAAAACGAATATTCGTCCGACTCTAGAAGCCACGACTTCGGCCAGGTGTCTCGACGCGGGGCACGAAACTTGTCGCAAATGCAGAATCTTCGAGACAACGTTGAACGACACGAAGCCATGACGAGCGCTCGCGCCGGGAGTCACCCGCTTTGGGAAAGGTGCCCGCTGCGAGATTTAAGGCTGAGCCGAGGCAAGTGGGGCGTGGATTGGTAATGGAGGGGTGTAGCTAGAAGTCGCTATGGACTCAATGCACTCAGCGGTGAGAATGCTAGTAGTGTGCTGACCTGGAAGGCTTAATGAAACGTCCGAGCATATTTTTGATCCGTCTTGTGCATTGGCAACAGGAGCAGCATGTCAGAAAATGATCACGAGCAAGCCGATTGCGTCTCAAAGCGTATCGTACGAGAATCTTTACAGTATTCATGCATACTCTGCCGGGAGGATACGGACGTAAGTCGGTAGATTTGATTCCTATGTCTCCGTTGGATGCGGTACGGGATGAACCACTTGGGTATTTGTCAACCATCATCTTCCCTCGAAAGCAGTCAACTGCACCATAGAGCTATCTGACATAGCCTAGCTTCAGGAAATCTATCATAACCTTTACTCCGTGTAAACACAGGGAAGTTCCCTTCTTATGCGATGTCATGCTTAGTCCCGTCGTCGAAGGCTCTTACGCCCAGGTGGAGATTTGTATGCATGCCATACACTATCGCTCGCCTGATGTACTTGGAGGTTCTTGCCCTACTCCTCCTCTTCGTCTTCTCGGCTGTCCACAAAGAAGTCTCCCTCTTCCTCCTCAGGCTCCATGACCTTCTCTATCAGCTTCAGCGTCTGCCGTAACGGCAAGCCGACCACGTTGTCGTAGGACCCTTCTATACGCTCGATGAGGCACGCGCCCACTGTCTGTATACCATAGCCGCCTGCTTTATCGTTACCGTCGCGCGTTTTGACGTATGCGAGGATCAGTTCGTCGGTCACTACTCGTGTTAGCATTCGATTCAGCCATTTCTGAACAGGAAGAAGTACCAGTAGGATCGAACATAACCGTTGTCTCTTCAACATGTGTCTCCATAGCATATCCCGGATCTACCGCAGACTCTAATGGCTTCATCACCGCAACGGCGGTCATAACCTTGTGCGCGCCCTCATCTCTCAGCATCTTCAGCGTTGCTATATGATCTGCCTCGCTCTTTGGCTTCTCCAGTATCCGCCCAGCGTGCGATACTACGATTGTGTCGGCAGCGATGACGATGGCAGGTTCGCCGCGCTCGCGATTGTTAATCTCGGTTTTGTATACGTCATGCGCTTTGGCGGACGCGGTTTCGAGGACGTAGTTCAGCGCGCCGAGCGAGTGGTCTAGGTTTTCGGCGAATTTGGATGGAACTACGTCGATTTTTGTGAGGCCGATCTGATAGAAGTCAGTATCTGGCATGTCCATGGCCGGGTAGATGTGATGCTACCTGTGCGAGAAGCTGTCTTCTCCGTGGTGACGCGCTCGCAAGCACAACTCTCGATCCTCTCAACTCATTCAGCGCTGGCAGATTCAGTGGCGGAGGCGGTCCTGGAGGTAGCCTCTTCGCTAATGGTGTGCCCGATGCCGACTTGTTTTGTGGGATTGGTGACTTCCGCGCATCTTCATACGATGGTGGGGGATCGGACGGTAGTAGGGGCTCTTTGACGTCCATTGTGGCGGATGAAGTATGTTTAACGATCAGGTGATATGCAGAGACTGCACTTGAATAATAAAAGGTCAAAGAATTGGGTATGCGTTGCGATTGTAATGGTGTTGGGGACATCTTTCGAGGAAGCTATGGATTTCGGGGATGCTTCAGGGTCCAAGCTCCTGCGCCACCCGACTGGATGACGTTCGCCTGGGGAGCCGCAACGCAGATCCTTTGTCCCTTCTTCTCCAGCAGTACAGCCACTACAACAAACTATGTTGCCACCCAAACTCACGCATCACGGATGAAGCCTATGTTGCTGATAGGTACCTGTCGCGAACACGATAAGTTTAAGAATAGAAGTCTCTAGACATTGTCCTATCGGATAAAGCAACGCGCCAACAATCTCTGATGGAAACTATGAATTCCTGTTGAAGTAAATATCGCAATCACCTATGCACAGATTCATGGACCGCCCAAATAGTAAGAAAGTCATCACCACCGTGCTCTTTGTCTAGCGACCGCGAAAGAAACCTCATCTTCATCCGGCCAAGGCCAAGAAAAGTCACGAACAACGGGACTAATACGCCTTTCTCTCCCATCAACATACTCTCCTCCTCCCCTTCTCCTGTAGCCAAGTTGAGGTGAGGTGGTGCCCAGTGGAACATCCCTCGTCCATCCAGACACAACTCGCCGTAAAGCTGTAAGCTTGCGTAATATCGAGAGCTAGGATCAGCCTCTTGAAAGTTGCGGAGGCGAAATACGCTCTTGACTCGGATATCTAAAGTCCCGGTGGTGTAATCGAAATACGTTCCACGTCTGAGGCGTGATCTGTATAGCATGACGAGGTATTCTGGCGAATATAAGATCCAGCGGCCTTCCAAGGACTTTATTGTCAATTTGTTACCTCTGCGGATTGACCCACGCATGATCCACTCAGACTGTGCCATCTTGGCTTGGTGGGCATACTGTTTGGCAAGAGCTTCCTCGTAACCGTTGACCGAGTTTCCTACGTTTAGCTCAGCGGTTGTGAGGCTCGCATTGCCAGCCTCAAGATTGTTAATTGCAGGAGGTGACATTTGGCTTTGGTTCTGGCCTTAAGAGTGTGAGCTATAGAGTCAGGATGAGATAACAATGTGCACTCACCGGTAGTAGGATCCATTTTATCGTGGATTAGGGGGCTAGCAGGCGTGCTTGGTTCGTCGCTGCCTAGACAAGTTGGCGGAAGGTACCTAGAGATTGGTGTAAGAAGTCAGTATATGTCTCATATTAGTTCTTACATGGACATGACTTACCGAGTTCGACCTTGGGGTAAAGTGGACATAAACGGCGCTTCGTAGTGCGGTACTGGTCTGCTGCAATAGTCCTTCACGAATCCGTCGATTTCCATGTCTTCCTCTGTCCTATCCAAGATCCCAACGAACATGTAGTCGTCTTCCTCAGTACCACCACCCAGTTCTTCCGCTGGGATGGTAATAGTAATGTATATACCATCAAGGCACATCATTATTATGCTTTTCGAATGTTTGTTCCCATAAATCCCGTTATCATCCCCCTGGGTAATATTCGTTCTACGAACCAAACATCTACTCTCAGAATACCCGAAAGTAAGAAGATCTTTGACTCCAGGAATTGTACATCTAGCCCCAGTAAGTTCTCCACCAATTTTCCAGCGTGGTCCCAGACGAATGCTACCTGCGGTCCATATGTCGGCAAACTGTTTGGTCCAAAGTGTCGGGTTGTTCTTGTAGTGCAATGCCACGTATTGTGGAGAGTACAATGTGTATTCACCCCGGACAGGTAACACTGGAATCTCGTCATCGGTTTTGTGGTCGAAAGTTCCATCTCTTATCCCCGATATAACATGTTCGAAAGCACGAAAAACTTCGATCTTCTTTTGATGATGTAGATAATACGCAGCGTTGACGGCTGGTGGAAGTTCGTGGTGTTCGTCAGGGTCTGACATGCTAGATGCGCTGTCTTTCTCACTATAGGCTGCGTCCATAGCTGCGAGTGGTTCGTAATAGGTTTGCATGGTGAGGGAGGACATTGCAGTAGTCTTCAGCGTCCTCGTGCGGAATTGCTGGTTCTAATTAGTGTTGTTCATGTCGTAGCGAAGGCCAACGCGCACTTACCTAGGTACTCCAAGGTCGACTGCAATCCGAGGCGATTCGATGAAGATGAGTTCCTCTTCAATTGATCGTTCACTGCCAGCCATTTTATAGATGAAGAGGACGCGACCAACCTCTACTAGCGTTGAGTATATCTTAGCGTGTCGAAGTCGCGTTCACGGCTTGTAACTCCAAAAAAAGCCCCGGGCCGACTCAAGATATCGAAAACCAGCCTTCTCTTTTTAAGCAACCTAGGAAGTCTCGAATTGTATTAGCATGCATCGTCGTTGCTAGATAAAACAGGTATATTGTACATTATTGACAGCGGACGTCTTGTCCGGCGGCCGCAGTAGGTGCGAGATATCGAGTCCGGCCTTGGGGTAAGACAGGGTTGTACGGTGTTTTGTAATAAGATCGCGGCTTCCATTCCGGCATTCCCGGCCACCATTCTGACATCTCCTCCTCGTCCCTCTCCAGAATTCCATGAAGATGGATTGTTTCACCAGAGATATCCGCGATGTCTAACAACAGATATGCGCCACCCAAGAACCAAATTTCAGCCTCTGCTGTGATATTATTAGAGTGCCAATAAGCTTCACAAGACTGCGGCTGCGTCGACGGATGTTCCGGAGCAGTATATGTAAAAGTTATACGGTGGGCGTTTTTGGCCAGTTCGACTTCAGCGCCAGGACCTATACCGTCTCCCCAACGTTGTCCCAGTCGTAAGGTACCAGTACGCCAGTAGCGCAAGACATCCCCTTTGAACCAGTGTGGCCTCTGCTCAATCCCTTCTCGCAACATGTCGGCGGAATACAGTGTATATTCTCCGCGAATGTAGGCCGGCGGTTGTGGATCCTGCAGAGCAACATTGCCGTTGTTATCGTTCCGAGTACGCAGCTTCTCTTTCAGATTGATATAAGCTCGTAAAACGTCGTTTTGATAGTGGATTTCTCTTCCCAGAAGATCTTCCACCGTCTCCTTGTTTTCGATGAGCTGGATCATCTTCGTCTCATACTTGACGATGATAGCCTTTTGTTCGCGCTCAAACTCGATTTGCGTTTCCACATCAGCATCTTGTTTCTTTTTACGTGTCGATCCCGGGTTGGACCAAGATCGGGCATGTTTCGTCGCTCTCCTATTCTCGACAAGCTTGACCATCTCCTTCTCATACTGGAGGAGGAGAGTTTCTGATAAGCGGTCGAAATAGGTCAAGTCTGTGGCCCACCAAGCGAGCTGAGTCTCATTCTGATACTCGACGAGCATAGCTCTTCCTATGCGCTCGAGATCGGTCTGCCCGAACCCAACATAATGCAGCTCTTCGCATTTGGGTTTCGACACCCCCTTCGTCGCTGCACCAACATCTGATCGGTCCTGGTGTTCATCGATTCTGACATTTGTGGGCTTCTCAGGGACAGGAGGAGGCTTTGTAGGAACAGCAGGCTTTGCAGGAACAAAAGGTTTTGCAAAAACAGAAAGCTGTACAGGAACAGGAGGCTTTGCAGAGACAGGAGGTTCTTTCGGAACGACTCGGAAGTAATCCTTGATCTTGCCGTCCCGTGTGAGCTTGCGCGTAGCTGCTGTGAATCATTAGAAGCGGTTCCTTCCTAGCCGAACTATACTGCACATACGCTTGACGTGTGGACTCTTCTTGATTGGAGCCATTGGGTTGTTGTGTAGTGTTTACTGGTGACTGGCGAAGAGGCTGCCCCGGAAACCATTCCGAGAACGATACGCACGCTCCAATGCGACGAGATAGGAAGCGTTCACCCCTGATTAGTGTGCAAGGGTCATTAGCGTGTCGCGTCGCGTCGCGTCCGAGGAATGAGACCGAAACGCAGCTCCAATTTACACCCAGCCTTCTGTATTAAAGCAAGTTTCTTTTTAGCAAAACTTTTTCGGCCGCTCTCTAACACTATTTAGCCGCTCTCTTTATAACTTCTTTATCTTAAGAGATAAAGCTTAACTTTCTACTATAAAATTATAAAGATTTTAATGTTATTAGCTTTATATTAAGAAAGCTAGTTTATATCTTTAAGAATAAAAGAGTTATAGCTAAGAAAAGATAGTACTTTTAAGTAAAAAAAAAAAAAAAAAAAAGATCTTTTTTATATATAACTTCTTTTAGTGCCTTATACCTAATTTTATAGACTTTATTTAGTAAAAAGATATTAAAAGACGCCTAGCTTTTAAAGTTATTCTAGAACTACTAGAAGATTTTAAGATTTTAATATATTTAGTGTATATTACTATTAGCACTAAGGCTTTTAACTAATAATATATTACTATAGTAGTAAAACTAGTAATATAATAATAGACTAAATAGCTATTAGGCTTAAGAGTTAGTGCGCTAAGAAAAGCTAAGTCTAAACAGCGTTTAGATAATAATAATAACTATATATATATAATATAATTAACTATATTAAGTACTTATTCTAATAGAGATACTTCTAATCTCTCTACTATATATAGTAACTAACTAAAACTTAACCTATTTAGTCTTTTACTTTAAAAAGGCTGTACGCTACCTTTAAGTGCGTATTTTACTTACTAAAAGCTTATTAGAATAATAGTTTAACTAGGCTTTAGAAAAGATATAATTATTATATAATATAATAGAATAAGTAATAGGTAAGTATATAAAATAGAGAATAAAATAATATATAGAATAGTATATCTAAGAGATATATAGAAGTAAACTATAAGCTATAGAAACTTAATAGTATAAATACCTAAAAAGTAGGCGTACTAAGAAACCTCTAATAATATAAATAATTAGATAATAATAACTACTACTTAGGCTAATAGATAATATAGCTATAGTAGCGCTACGCTAAGCAATATAAAGAGCTAAATAAAAGGTTTAGACTAAGCTAATTACCTATTAGATAGCTACATAAATAGAAAATAATATAATAGAAAGTATATAGCTATATTATTCTACTAAGAAGAAATAACAAAATCTAAGAAAAGTTAGAAAAGCTAATATAGTAGATCTTAATTCTAGTATAGCTAAAAAAGAAGAGGCTAAATAATAAAATAGTAGTAGAAAGCTATTATAGTATATAAAAAAGGTAGTAATAGCTCTTCTAGTAAAGAATACCTAACTTTATTAGTAAGTAAATAGTTAAACCTAATTAATAGTACTTATACGTTTAATATTTATACTAGCTATTATACTATTTATAATACTTATATACTACTTTATATAAATAAGTAAAAGTTAATTTAATAAGGCTAAGATTAATAAGTAATCTAAGTTAGTTACTAAAGCCTCTTTAAAAGCCTAGTTTACTAAATAACTATTTTTACCTCTCTAGACTAAGCCTATAAAGTCTAAAGTAATACTTATATTATTCTAGAAGAATATTAAGATACTAGATATTCTAGAGTTCTTAGACACTACTAGCTAGTAGCCTTAAGTATAACCTTTAGTACAACTCTAAAATAATAATATAGTAAAGCTTCTTTAGATAATAGCTTAGTCTCTTTAGTAGCTAGGTAATTACTCTCTAGTCTATTCTATCTAGCTTTCTCTATACCTATTAAAGATAGTTCTAGTATTTAATAGAACTAACGTTACTATATTTCTTAAGCATTTTAAGAATATATTAAAGTACTATAAGTTTATAAATAAAATAAAGATTAATTACCTTTTAGCGCACTATAAACCTAAGTAAAGAGTAATTATTTAAGCTTTAAATAAATATTCTAACACTCTAGTTACTAAATTCTAGAAGAAGTTTAGAGAGGCTCTTAGAAAGCTTTTTTATACTAATAATAAAGACTAATAGAAAGCTTAGACTAAGTACTTTAAGTACTAGCTTCTCTAGTACTAAGTAAGGTCTAATCTAAATATTAAGAAGTATCTATAGAAGTTTTAGATTTATAGTAAGTACTATATTAAAGTATTAACTATTAATAAAGATTACTAAAGTTTCTACCTAGTTAAGAGACTACTTTTTAGGTATACTATAAAGATACTTAATAAGTTTAGTTTAAAGACTAATAACTTAAAGACATTTAACTATACTAAGATTAGTAACTACCTTACTACCTATCTAAAAGTAGAGAAAGAAGCTTATATACTTAACCTCTTTAAAGTAGTTAAAAAAATTATTTTAGAAGTTAAATTTAACCTAGCGTAGCTAATAGCTTATTAGTAACTTTAGTAACTAGTACTAACTCTCTAAGATAACTATACGTAGGCTTTCTAGCTACCTAAGCTTAATATTCTACTCTAAGATAAGCTACTTAGGCTCTATACCTTTTAGTCTTCTCTAGAAAAAGTACCTACTAATACAAAGGTAGATAACTTAGTTAATAAGATACTTAACCTAAAGATTAATTATACTAGCCTAAAGATAAAACTATAGAAAATCTAGTAGATCTACTATAAAACTAAACTTATAAATAACTCTAATATACGTAGTAAAGTAGACTATTAAGCTAATAAATGCGTAAATTACCTAAGAGCGTATCTACTCTAAGGCTAGAGGTAATTCTAGCTAAATAACTAGTATTAATCTTAGCTATAGTAGTAATATAGTAGTTACTAATAGAATACTAGTTAGACTTTCTATAATAACTTCTAAGGCTTTTAGAATCTAGAAACTAGATATAATTAAGGTACTATAAATAGATAGGCTCTTAGAGTAACTATAAATTATTAGGTATATAATAAGAGTAACTATTATAAGTAAAACTACCTAACTCTTTAAGTATATATAAATAAGAGCTAGCTTTATATAGATAAATAGAATATACTTTAGTAGAGTACGCTAGAGAACCTCTAGAGTTATATTAATAACCTAGGCTAGAGACTATAGGCTAAGAGCATTTTAGCTAAGATTAAGTAATAATTTCTAAAAAAGAATATTAACTCTCTTATAGTTAA